GCGCATCCCCATTGGCGGCCTCTCCACCATGCGCATGCGCATCCCCAACGGCAGCCTGTCCACCATGCGCATGCGCACCTCTCCTCCCAGCCGGGAGCGCGCACGGAGGCACCTCCTCCCGTGTTTCTGCGCCTGCCCGCCGGCGGCACTTCGTCGCGGTAGTCGCGCGAGATGTACGCACTTCCGCCGGCGGCGGCCGGGGCCTATGTACCAATGGCTGCTGGCGGCTGTCGGCAGTCTCTTCGCCGCCGCGCGCCGCTCCGCGCCACTCCCGGCCCCGCGCAAGCGGCCCTTCCGCAGGTCAGCGCTCCGCCGCGTGTCCCTCCGCGCTGCGTCCGGCCCTCGGGCGTGACGGGGTGCCGGTTTGCCGGAGGGTTCCGCTCCTCGGCCCCGACATGACCTCCCTCAGCCCGCTGGGCACGCTCTGTGCTGTGCGGCCCGGCGTCCCGTAGGCTTTCTTGGCCACCAGGACGCACACGGGTCCTTTTGCAAATTGCTCCTTTCCGGCACGTCTGCACTGATGTGTGCAGCTGTACCTTCCCCAAGCGCGGGGCTGTGTGTGTGGCTGAGCGAGACGTAATGGACGTGAAGTGGGATGTGGGGAGTTTCATACAAAAATGAGGAATAAAAGCTCCTGTGAGGGTGTCGGAGCTGTGGAGTGGGCTGCACATGGAGGCGGTGCGGTTTCCTCTGAATATACTCAAATCCTGGGCACTTTTCTACTATAAGGAACCTGCTTTAACAGGGGGTTGGACTGGATGATCTCCAGAAAGGCCTCCCAACCTCTGCAACTCCGTGATTCTGTGTGCAAAGTGAAAGGAAGGGCAGTGCTTTTGCAGGCAGGAGCTGGCAGTGTGCAGCAGAGCCATCCCTGCCACATCCCTCTTCCCAAAGGGAGAGCAACACGGGCTGCCTGCCACGCTTTGGGCACTCAGCTTTGCTAGGAGATCACTGCAAATGAGGGAAGCAAGTAGGGTGGAACTGCTATGTACCAATGGCAGAGGTGTTTTCAGCAGCTGTGCAGTTGGAAATAAGGTCTGAAATGCTGCTTGTCTCTAAAATGACAAAGGTATTCTCAGCTCCCTGTGTGAGGCTGCGAGAAAATCATAGAATGGCCTGGGTTGAAAAGGACCACAGTGCTCATCTCGCTCCAACCCCTTGCTATGTGCAGGGTCACCAACCAGCAGACCAGGCTGCCCAGGGCCACATCCAGTCTTGAATGCCTCCAGGGATTGGGCATCCACAACTTCAGTTCTCCATAAGTGCTGTTTCTCAAAATGTACGTGAATGGGACAGGCAGGTGAATGGTTTGGCTGAAATTTTGGATGCAGAGATGTCCTGAGCAAGCACCATTCCCAATCATAGTGGTGGAGCACATGGGTGAAGTTATACAGAAGTTGCCTTTTTTGTTACATCTGCCACTTGGGGTTTTCCCACAGCAAAAAAAAAGATGAAAAATTATGGATATCAGTGGTGAAAGTAATGGGTAAAAATGAACTGCTCTTAAATGCTGCACTGCAGCATCATGTGAATTTCAGAGGAAAAGTCAAAATTCATACAGCTTTACATGGTAAACTATCACAAAGTGCCTGCAGCAGTGACACAGGAAGAGATTTGGAAGAGGAGAGAGGCCTGCACGTGGGTGTGTGCATGCAGAAATAAGGGGGTTTGTGACATCTTGTTTTCGCCCCCCCCTCACTGGTGGGGTGGAATAGATTGTTAGGCTGTTGCCACGGCGTCGCAGGGGGAGTTGAGCCCATCTTGGTGTGGAGGGCAGACACACATCTGCCTCCTGCAGTGCTTTTTCCACCTTTTTTGTGACCGCTGCTCAACACCCTCTGCTTTTACTTCACCTTAAGAGAGCCTTAGAGGAGCCCGTGCTACAGGGGCACAGCTTGAACTCCTCATGAGTTGTGTGTTCTGCTGCATAGCTGAGCTTCTTTACCACTTGCTCTTACCTGGAGTGAGAAAACTCAGAGAACATCAGAAGTTTTTTAGTCTTTTTCTGAGTCGTTGAGAGAAAACAAATCCTGCCATGTCCTCAGAGCAACCTAAAGAGCCCAAGCGTCCAGCTAAGTGTAAACGGAAAAAACGACATTGCAACAGGTACAGGGTGCAGTGCTGAAGCTGGGGGAGGAGGCCCTTCTCTTTAAAAACTGCTGGTGGTAACGTAGCTGGGTGTTAAAGCCGTGTTTATCGCTGAGTGCAGCCCTGGGGAGGCTTGTGGTGCTGTGTCTCTGCACGAGGTTCGAGCTGGGAGCCTTCTGCTGTGGGCCTGGGAGTGAAAGTTAGCTGTTGCTAAAAGCTGGATGGGAAGACACACGTGGTGGTGTTTTCTTCTTAATTTAGCCTGCTGAAATATTAAATACGCTGAGTAGGAACGTGGTTTTTTGGGAATAATTTGTGTTTACCACCTATTCCTTTGTATTTTCTGCCTGAAGGTAGTAGTGCAGTAATGGCAAATATCCTCTGTTTGACATGAAATGTAGAGCTCTTTTGTGTTTCTGATGCGAAAGGGTGACAGTCCAGAGGGGGTGAGATGAGCAGGGCTTGGATGTGTAACAGCTGGAATTGTTTTGATCAAAGAAGGACCAAAGAGTCCTTGCCGTGTAGGGGGGGAAGGACAGAAACACCACTTTGTGTTTTTGGAAGCAAATAGGAAAAAAGTGATATATATAGAGAGAGAGAGAAATGAGCTGTGTACTCCCACCATTAATAACTACATTTCTAGACTTTATCTTTGTGACGACTGACGCAGTACTTCAGCTGCTGCTCAGCAAGGAGGGGTGCAGCTGAGAGCGATTGCAATGAGGGGTTGGCAAGCACTGATTTAGCAGTGAGTTATTTATGTGGGTGTACGTGCATTGCTTTCCCATCTTATATTTCCTGTCCTACTTAGGCTTTTTTTTCCCTCTGCAGCTCATTGTAGTGAACTCAGATGGCTTAGTAATCATCGGCGTATTTCTTTCCTTGAGGAAAGAGGCAAAGCTGTACATTAATTAAGAATTTTTGGTTGCTTGTAACAGATAGAAAGTATATATTGAATGTTGGAGAAAGGGGCCTGAAGTGTTTTGAATGGGTGAATTAATTTTCTGCGCGTGCTCTGCTGGGTGGGAGACATCAATGGGAGATGCTGCCACATGTTTCTGTCTGGACTGATCCTAGAGGTGCTTGGAGGGGAGACCTCTGGGGTAGGAGGATTGATTTGGGAAGTTTGGGTCCCGTGAAGGGAAACGAGTCTCTTAGAAGCTCATCTGCAGTCCCCAAATGCTGATCTGCACGTATTTTCCACAGTGTTCAGCCGCCTCTGGAAGAAGATCCTGACGAGCCTCAACCAAAAAGGAAAACATCAGGTACTGCACATTGCAGAAGTAATTAATATGCCTTTATGATTTTTTACTGTTTTTGTTTAGGTTTTGGATACTTTAGTAAACTGGCTTCTGTTCTTCAGCATAAAGGCTGAAGTTTTGAGGCATTCTCTAAATTGTGATCGTATGTGTAGCCAATGGCCTGAGGCAGAATTGTGTCACACGTACTGGCTGTGGCAGGATGGGGTACTTTTACTGCCAGCAGGAGATGCCCCGCATCTCTCTGGCCATGAGCCCATCCACATCAGCACAGTGAGCACTGTGCATCAAAGCTGAGTGCTCCCTCCTGTATTCATGGTCTGTATTAGTAGTGTTTCACATCTGCCAGCTGAAAAGAGCTGTGTTTCTTCTGAGAAACCACCTAAAATCTGGGGTACAAAGGAAAGCACCTTCAAAGTGACAGCAGGCAGAGAAAAAAAAAAGGCATTTAGGAGTGATGCAGCTATGCTGCTACCTCGGTATTCACTGCACAGATCATGGTTTGAGATCAGAGTTTTCCTTTTTCAGTCAGATGAAGAGGGAGAAGCTTTTTATGCTATATTTCCTAGCACAAATTTCATGGGGAAACATGGAGCTCTGTAGCTACTGCTTGGCTTCCCCTAATTTAATGCTGAACTGTTACAGTGTGCTGTTCTGGTATCACTTGATCCCTTTTCAGTCATGTTCTTATATGACCTGTCTTGTTTTTTTTTAAGGCTCTGAGCCTCCAGGAGAAGTAAGCACCTCTGCTGAGGTGAATTTGCCACCCAGGGCAGCAGATGAACACTGGGCAATTTCAGATGACAACGTAACTTCAACCACAACCTTGGGAGAAGAGGTCAGCACAGATTTTGAAAGTAGGCAGTTGTAATTGTTGAATCTGTGGGAGACAAAAGGAAGGAGCTTCTCTGCATAACAAAGCCTGTACAGCAGTAGGGTCTTCTTTGCTATTTGTAGCAGGCAGCTCTGTTGGCTGGGTTTGCCTCATTCAGGTTTGCACACTGTGCTCTAGCTCTTGTAACTAAGGAGCTCAGTGTTTGCTGTCTTTCAGATACTCTGTAGTCATTCATAGCTGTAGTCTTAGGATGTTTACAAGTTGTTTCTAAAGCTAGTAGTGAAGGGATCAGTATGCATCACCTTGCAAGAAAAGCTGCATAATTGCTGTGGATAAAGGTCTCTTTGCTACATTATACACCAGACCACCAGAGGATGCCTTTAAGACTTTGAGTCTTAACCAGTGAACTGTTGCTCATCTCTGTAGCTTGGTTCAAAGCTGCAGTGTTATTTTTCTCATTGCCCCACTGGTATAAGAGAAGAATAAGAAGCTGCCATGATCCATTTGTTCTTGAGAGAGTTACTCTCCTTCACAGAACTTATTTTTCAGGGGCCAAACTCACGTTTCAGTGTGGTTAGGAGCTGAATAAGAAGAACTCAGGGTTAGATTCATGTCGTTTTAATCACTGCATATAGGAGCTCCTGTATTAAAAAAATGTAGAAAGTGTACTTGTCAGAGATTCTGCAAATATTTGCACTCTGCTGCAGTCTAAACCAGCATATCGTGATCCCTGAGTCATCATAGAGCTGCCTACATTCCAGGAACATCATGTTTGCATTCAGGTGATACTCACAGCGATACTTTTGTTTTTATTCTAGCCTCCATCTGCTCCATATGACCCTTCATCTGAAATACCATCAAGCCCTGTGCTGGAAAGGCTGCAGATTGGTAAGGCTGACACCACATCACCAACTCATTTCTTTTTCACCCATCCTTGTGCACCACATGACCCAACTTCAGGTTTACATACAGATGATTGCAGGCACAGTGTGTAACATCTAGGGATATTGCACGTGAGCTCTGTTTCTTTTTGATTGGTGAAGCTCTTTAAACTCAAAACCTTTGGTTTCCTTTTGTAGTTACTGATGTAACTTGTGTTCCTGTTACAGATAATATGCCTTTTGAAAGTGATGCTTACTTTGATAGGGTCACACTGGCCCTTTCTCCTGTGACAGTTCCAGATCTCCGGTAAAAATCCTTTCATTTCTTTCTGGAAAAGACTTTCCACCTTTCCCTTTCATTCTTGAGTGTTGTCAAACACCTGGATCGTTGTCCACGTAATAATAGTTACCCAAATTATTTTGGGACCTGATCCAGTTGCTGTACTGCAGTGAGATATCCAGCTGCCTTTTTTTCCCCCTCCCCCTTTGAATCCAGATACTTCATAGACATGGGACGTTTGTTAGAAGAGGCAGCTTTGTTAGCTAGAAGCTTCTGTATTGACTCAGGGCTTGGGCTGCCTTGGAAATGGCCCCGAGAGTATCTGCATCACTTGTGCAGATCAAACAGCAGTGTGTATTCGAGGCAGTTGTTCTGCTTTTAGTTTTACCTGTGCATACTTTCTCATTAATTGGTTGAAGACAGCAGGTCTTCATCTGAAAGTAATCAACATCTCATGTCGAAACAGTTGTCAGTGCAGGCTGAATTGTAGGTGCTTATTTGAACATTTTCTTGATGCTGTTTCTTTTGCCTTTGTTATTTTTTTAGCAACTACTACACTGAACCTCCTGGAGATGACACTTCAACACCCACTGAGGATGAAGAGCCAAAACCTTCTACTTCAGGAATGGACAAAACAGGGAAGCCTTTGCGCAGCGTTGAGGTGCGTGGCTGAGAAAGGCTTTTTGAAATTAAACCATTCAATAATTACAGCTACAAAAACACCGAGTTCCTTCCCTGTCCTTCCCATGTCTGAAGCAGCTGTTGGAAAACACGTAATAAACCTAGATTTCATGGGAAAAAAAGTCTCAGACTGAAGTAGTGGAGGAGCAGGCTGTGGCAAGCAGTGAAGTATGATTAAGATATCCTGGGGACTCATAGCAAGCAGTCATTATGTGTACTGACAGGAATGCATATTAGCCTGAATTATTATGCAAGAGGTGCAGACCGCAGCTGCAGATAAGAGGCCCACATTTGAGGAAATGGTTGTAAAAGAAATGTTGAGAATTACAGTGAGCACAAATCCTTCCCACAGGGCTAACACAAAACTAACGTGTGGGAATTGCTGTTAAATGAGCTGCAGTATTTAGAGAGCAACCTGTGCAGGCTGCACCAAATCCAGATGACAAGTATTTGCTTCATATGCAGCGATTCTAATCTGTTCTTCTGTTTGTTTGTCCCTCCGTTCTGCTAGGATGCTCAGAGAGAAGAAAAAGAGAAATACAAGCAACTCTTGAAACTACTGAAGGACAAATATGCTAAATACTGCCAAACTACAAAGCCGACAAGCTCCAAGTAATTAATTATAGGAAGAAATTAACATAAGATTTGGTGGACATGGGAAGTGGAGGGAAAAAAATGCAGCTTTTGCACTCTCAGGGCTCCTGATGGTGTCCCAGGGCAGATCTTTGCATAAACCAAGTTTTAAAAGCTCAAGAGATGCTTCCCCTCCCTGCATTCACTTCCTCCAGGTGTAGCAGGAATGTTTTGTGAATGTGTTCTGCAGATGAAAGTTTGTCACTCTGCAGGGATACGTTTCTCTCCCAGTAGATTAAAAGGAAGAAATCTCAGTCTTGTGTACAGAACTCCTGTTCTGAGAGCAACCTACAAGAGGCAACTTGCGTGTAAATCTGATTCATGAGTAGCAGTGATGTGGGTTTGATATCTGTGTTGCTGTGTAAGAGATTGCATGAAGCTAACCACACCAGGAAAAACACAAAAATAATAGAAGCTGTTATCTCAGTGGGATACTACACCTCAAAGCTTTGTACAAAGAGCCTAATTAGAAAATACTGATGCCAGAATGGTGAAACAGCAGCGTGCCTTTCTGCACAGGCAGATAGTAGGAAATGCCACGTGAATGCTGTGAAACATGGATTGCTTTAGCAAAGCTAGAATCCCAGTCTCTGCTTTGTCTCACAGCTAGAAGACATGGAAACACAGGGCTTCAGAGCAGAATAGCACATCACATTTAAACACTCTGCTGTGTGAATACAGAAAATGACACTTTGTGTAATTTTAGGTGCACCAGCATTAATATTTGAGGTTGGATCAACATGCTGCTTGTGGCATCTGATCTTCCAGCCACTGGTTACTGTGGTTTGGCCAATATCTCAGAGCAGTCCTGAAGGATGAATTTAAACATTCCAGAAACGTGTGTTGTGTGGACAATGTATTCACAGTGCCAGCATTATCTCCAATAAAGGGTTGGCCAGGGATTGTGACAGAGAATGCTGCCTTGTCCTATAAAACACAGGTTGCATACAGATAACAGATACTGCATGTATAGAAATTCTGATTCTGTTTTGTTTTTTTTTCCTGCTGCACCAAAGTGTTGAGATTTACTACAAAGAGTCACTGTCTGCTGTAACTTTCCTGGAAGAACAAAGATGTGGAGGGGATGCCTCCAAGCTTTTGACACCAAAACCTGGTGAGTGAGCCCTGCTTTATAGTTGCTCTGTTTTATAGCTAGGCTTATAAAATAGAGCGTTTATTTAAGTCTTGAAGGTATATTTTATGCTATGCTAGACGTGGTGTGGCTTACATTGGCTCTTAGAACAAAACAAGCTGTCTCTAGAAAGAAAAAGGAGAGCAGGAACAAAACCAGAGATAGTTGTTAGCTGAAATGGCTTTGTAAGTGACAAGCTTTGTTTAAAGCTGTTCCTCCACCCTGGTGCTGTACCAGAGATGTTCTTAGCTGCAGAAGTAACTGCATGCTGTGCAGGTGAAGTCTGTAACATCTGACCCTTTCTGCTGGTGGAGGCACACTGATGTGTGTGAACCCTTTAGGTTATCTCACCCAGCTGTGATAATGCATTACTGTTTAATCCTTTTTTATGTGACCATATCCATGATATCAGAGCTTCAACACTAAGCCAGCTGTTACAAACTGAAATATTAACCCGGTGGAAAGGCAATAGGGAGTGACACAGCAAAAGGGACAAGCATGAAACAGGGTGGTGTTATAAAAGAGAAAGTGCTTACCTGTCTCTGAAGATTTAGGCTCACAAGGGAGCAGTCTCTAAGCAGAGCTCCTTCCCCACTGCCACTCAGCCCTTAAATGGGGTCTAGGAGAGGTGCAGCCAGGCTCCTCCCCCATTGCCTCCACCTGTGCTCCCAGGGCTGACCAGGTCCTTTCCCCAGGTGCTCAATCAGTGCTTCAGGCTGGGACTCAACAGTTCCCATCAACCAGCAAATTGCTTCTTTCCTGGATTAGCACAGCACCTCTCTTTATAACAAGTTGGCTTGTTTTGTAGATCATCTTTTCTGGTAAGCTGAAGAATGTAACTACTGAAAGTGACTTTAGATCCTGGGCTTCGGAGCTCACGCGCTTTCCCATAATGTCCAGGAGGCCTGTTTGCCAGAGTTAAAACTTCATAACCTTGTAGTCATTGTTAGGAAGGTTGTTGGGATTTTTTTTTGGTCTTTTCCTTCATAATCTGAGAGTCATGTTTGCCTGATCCTCATTAAATGCTGACTTCTTGTATGCTTTTTTGTGCAGATGGCAGCAGCCCACGCCACTCTCCAGAACGTGAGCAGCCCAGGTAGAATCTTGGTTCCTCTTTGGTCTTGTTCTGTGTATTCCAGCAGTGTCCAAAAAGAGAATAACCATCCTCATCATAATGTTCTGCCATGAGAGCAGCTAGCTTGTGGCTCTGGAATTGCTTGCAATCCAGTTGTGTCTCTCATTTCTTCTTTGTGAACCATCTGAGCAGCAGCAGCGTGAGCGCAGATGGCTGCGTGTTGCTGAAGGAAGCAAAGCCAGTGAGAGAGACTTCTGTATGGCAGTCTGATCTGTGATAACGCATTCCTTAACCAGAAGATGGACGTGTAAGAGTTACATGCATTGCTACAGCCTGCTTCTCTGTTTCCAGTTGCAGTTATGGTACGCCAGCAGAAAAGGAAGGCAAGAAAGGACAAGAGGGACACCCCAACTCAGGGGTGAGCTTATTATTCAGATGTATGTGGATACATGGGTGTATGGATGCATACTCAAAATACACTTCCAATTTTATACATGAGCAAGACTTTGTGTTATCCCTTAGCACATTTGCTTGCTAACTTGACCTCTTTTTGTCTGAGACAGCATGGAGATGAAGTCCCAGTGAATGCCTCCTCTGGATTGCATCTGCCACCCGTTGTGTCCGGAAGACCATCTATCCATGATGAGGAAGAAAAGAAACTCCCCAAATCCCAAGAACGCTTTCCTCCACTCACAGAGGTACCAGAGCTGTCAGTCCCTTGTTCAAATTAGAAAGCTGTAAAACATCCACATAACTCTTTTCTTTTTTTTTGCAGATGGTTCTTGAGCCTGTTTTGCAGTGTTAGGAGCTTGCATTCACCACTTGTAGAATGTCTGCAGAGCAAGGGTCAGCAGTGAAGCTGATCTTAAAGGGTTTAATACAATCCACACAGTCCTTTGGTTGTGCTCACGTAAGGGTTTGTGGGAATTGTGTGAGCAGAACCAAAACTGGTCCACGTTTAACAGGTGCTTTTCCAGAGCAGTATTTGGCTGCTCTGATTCCTTGAAGTCCTGCTGATGTAACTGAACACCTTCTTTTTGGCCCAGTGACGACTGGTTTGGGAAGGGCAAGCAAATTGAGGGTTTACAAACTCTGGACAGTGAAGCTCCATACAAGACAAAAAAGTTGTTTTTCTCACTTCACTGGCCCAGATTTAACCAAAAAGAAGTGTGCTTTGCATCCCTTAAGCAGGCTTAGATGGAAATATCCATACAAGAACAGTTACACACACAGCTGAGACTCCTGAATGCATGACTCCAGTGTCGACACCTCAGTTCCCTTTGGAGTTCTCCACTTTTAACTTCTTTTAGGTCCCTGACTCACATGCCTTGGTATGAAAAATGCCCACTGTGGTGCTGGTCTTATCACTCGAGCCTTCATGTAGCAGACCTTGTTACAGCTGAAAGCTGCCCACAGGTTGGTGTGCTCACAGGTCCTTTCCCATTCAATTGCTTGCTTCAGGCCATGGAGAGAGAGATCAAGGCTGCATTGACCGAGGGTAAACCAGAGGAGGTCGTGAGCAGTGCCTTCAAACTCAGGCTCAGCCGTGAGGACATCCAGACACTGAACAACTTCTCGTGGCTCAACGACGAGGTAAAGCTTGCTGCAGCACAGTCATGTTTCTGTTCTGGATGTCTCTTCAAATGTCCTCGCTGGGCACAGGTGTCTGATTTCAGTTATTTGCAGACCCTCACTGCAGAACTTACAAACACCTGTTGAGTCTTACTGTAGGTATATAAAGCTCTAGAGTTCTAGAAACTCTATTTCTTGGGTCATGCAGTTTCTAGAAGTTAGTCTTCTGAAAGTATTGCTTCTCTGGTTTGGTTTTTTTTTTTACTTTTTTAATTTGGTGAGCAGTGTCTTATTTTGTATTTTATATTTGCTTTTTACCATACAGGTCATTAATTTCTATATGAATCTTCTGATGGAAAGAGGCAAAAAAGAAAACTATCCATCAGTGTACGCTTTTAGTACTTTCTTCTGTCACAAACTTCTTTCCGAAGGCTACACAGCAGTAAAAAGATGGACTAGAAATGTGAATCTGTTCAAACATCACATCATTTTAGTTCCTATTCACTTGAGATCACACTGGACGTTGGTGGTGAGTCATGCTGGATTTCTTTTTTTTTTTTTCAATTGAAGAATTAAGTGGGGAGAAAGCAAGCAAGCAAGGTTGATCAGTTTTTGTTCAGTTTGCTGCATAGGCTCGTGCAGTGTCTGATGGTTACTTTTCAATAACAGGTCGTAGATATCAGAATGAAGACCATCACATACTTTGACTCACTTGGAAAGAGAGGAGACAAGATCTGTGAAGTTGTATTGTGAGTAACTGCTCAGTCAGTGCTTTTTGTTGTGAACTCTGAGAAGGTTTTTAGCTATTTGTACCTGAGACACAACTGGAAGCGTTTGGTTTTTTTGTAGCTAGGGAATAAAACCATTCTCACATCACTCCTTCCATCCAGGAGAGTGATACATGTCTCCAGGATGTACAGAGCATCACCATGAAATGCATGCAAACTAAACATTTGAGTTGTTCCTCCAAATGCCTTATGGCAGTAAAGATCCACTGACATCTTACTGTCCTGCCATTGGGCTTCCTGTGGAATTTCAGGGATCTCTTTTTTGTTGGCCTAAAATACAAAGACGAAGAGTTGTTTTGTTTTGTTTTAAACAGCCAATACCTGCAAGAGGAGAGCTGGGAGAAACGAAAAGTGAAGCTGTCACTTTCGGAGTGGACCCTTCACAGCATGGAGGCCCATGTATGTGAGCACTACTGGGATCTGAAACCCGCAGCTCCTCGTCACAAAGGCCTTAATGCTTTCTTAACAAGTCTAAGCTTTAAAGAGCATCCATAAACATAAACCATCTCAGGCTGCAAGTGGATTAGGAAGCTGTGCTGGGATGCGAGGCAGTGCCTTTCCTTGCTGGCCAAGTACTTTATTTTTCTATGAGTCTGCCATGTTAGGGTGAATCTGGCTTTGCACCTTTTTCACAAGTTGAATTTAAGAATCTGTTTAGCTGTTGTCTGAGAGAGGAGGCTTCCAAAAGCAGGCAGGGCTTTGAGGTGGTTCTTCTTCGAGCGTGAATTCTGGCAGGTGATGAAGAAAAGGGTTGAGCTGATGTCTTTCAACAAATTAATAGCAATAAGCAGCATCTGCAGACTCAGGAGACGTGAAACCACTGTGCTGCTCACAATGCAAACTTCAAGACACCTTGCAGGGTGGATTGCTGCTACCCCTGCAAGAATTTGGATTATGAGGTCCAAGGAAAGGAGACAGAGGGCTGTGAAGATGTGGCTCACTGGGTGTACTCCTTGTGTGTGGGATGGGTTGTGCACGTAGGTTTGCAAGTCAGAGTATTGGGGGTGGTGGGTGGTGCTGCCCCAAGCTGCTTTTCTTTTAAGATAGAAAACATTCTCCACCTTCTTTCCATTCATTAGGAAATTCCTCAGCAATCGAATGGAAGTGACTGCGGAGTTTTTATGTGCAAATATGCAGATTATGTCTGCAGAGACAAACCCATTACCTTCACTGAGGTGAGCCAAAGCTCCTAATGGTTTCAGATGAGTGCACACGTGCAGGGGCTGGGGAGGTTATGCAGCTGTTTGCTCTGCCTGGGGTGGAAGTTTTGTACTTCCATTTGTGGTGCGTGGCGCCAGGGCTGGAACTCAAAGTGGCCTCAGCAGAGTAGAGCTGTATTCACCATCCTTAGGTCTCAGGCAAACCTTGAACTCCCCCTCGGGCAAGGTATGGTTTTGGTATCTTTTGGAGAAATAGGCCTAACCCTTAGATTGATTAAAATATGAGTTATCTTCTGATGTAGCAGCCTTTAATTAGAGCTTGTTGTAAGCTGTTGTTAATAGTCAGATAAATCTGGCTTCGTTGGGTTTCATCCATGCAGCACCACAGTGGGTGTGAGACACAGCAGACCGTGTTGTACTCACAGGGGCTGCATTGACAGTGCTTAAAATGAGCTTGATGTGAGAGAACACCACACGTGTTTTCTGTCCCTTCCTGCTGTGCATTGCATGGGTTTTTCTTTCCTTTTCTTTACAGGAAGACATGCCTTACTTCCGCAAGAGAATGGTGTGGGAAATAATCCATCAGCAGCTGCTGTGAGGCATGAGCCGACAGAGCAACACGGTGCATCACCTGGCAGTCACTAGCTCCTATTTCATTATGTTTGCAGTGCCTTACTGAACAGGAAGCAGGCACTCACATGTTTCTCTTTTAGGCTATAAAGTAACGGTTAATTTTTTTCCTCCATTTCGGAGACAGTGCCTCTCTTTGAAATGAGCTGATGCGCCTTGAGTGAGAGTCTGAAAGTTGGCTGTGACTTCACCAGGGGAGTGGTGGAGAAGAAATGGTGTGAACTTGTGTCGGTGGGACGGAGGGCTCCCACCTCACTGCACACGTGGCCACATTTATGGACAAATGGGACTCTCCAGCCTGGTGGTAACAGTCGTGGGAGCCAAACTGAGCTCCCCAAGGACAATGTGCTTAGCTGCTGGTTCTTCAAGGAGAGTTCTCTTCTGTTTCTGGACTACCTACGATCTACTCGATTCCTAAAACTGGATTTGTGATGACCATAGAAAGGGGGGGGGGGGGAAAAAAAGTATTGACGGTTTTCTTGATTTGTAACAAATCTGTAGTGAAGCCCCTTTAGTTGGGGTGGTTTTGTTTTGTCTGCAGGGAATTATCTGATGTGAAAAGAGAAGTATTTATTTTGTTTCTTTTTTAAAGTAAATATGTAATTTATACAAAGAGCTTTACTGGAAAGAAATTCTACCTGGTGGTGAAATAGAGTGTTTTTTCTAAATGAAGAAAAAAAGAAAAAAGAGGTATCAGAGTGGTTTTTGCTTGCTTATGTGAGGAGGAAGACTCTAGCTAGGGTGAGTATCAGAGCACAGAAGCCTCTCAGCAATGCTTGTGAAATCCTGAAGGGGCAATGAGAATGTTTCATTGAGTCCAGTTGTATTTGGTCTGTTTTTGTATCCTGCTGAGCTCATGCTCTTTAACTGGAGTAAGTTTGGGGTCTCTGAGTTCCCTGTGTACTGTTGCAGAGGGGAGGCTGTTGCATGCTTGGCGTGTAGGCTGCCTGTTGGAACTGTGGTATTGAGAACCACATCACATTATTTCTGTGAGGTGGTTCCGTTCCCTCAGCTCTGAGGTAAAGATGCTGATTTTTGGAGATGTGCCCTCTGTGCTCGTGTGAACGATCTGCTTTCAGGCTGCTCCTTGCCACAGGGGCTGCTTTCCTAGGGGAGCTGCTGAGTGGGTTTATCTGTGCTGTGGCCAGGAGCTGGATCAGTCTTTGCTTCCAAACTGATTAGCTTAATCCATCACAAATCAGAGGAGGTTCCCCAAAGAGGTGACTGTTACAAAGGCAATCTGCTGCGGTTTGTCCTGATGTGAGATACTTAATCTTCTGTGGATTCCCTGAGGACGTGAGGGATTTTAGCTGTTGATTAGTTAGGACCTGGTAGCTGAACTGCTTGAAGTGTCCTTTTCCAGTTTGCCTGTGGATTGTTACCCTTAGGTCACCGTAAGATGCTCTAAGAACATCCTGTGGTGGGGAATCATCTCTTACATCTTCTGTGACGCCTTGAGAGAGCGCCTGGGGCCTGTGATGCAGTGTGAGTCACACGAGTGCTCCCTGGGTGGGGAGGGGGAGGGAGAGGGGGCTGCTCTCACGCTGCCATGAGCTCTGCTGATGCCGTCAGCTGCGTGGTGACGCAGTCATTACTGGCAGGGAGGACCTTGGGGGGGGAGTTCAGCCCTTGTGTCACGATCAAATCCATCACTGAGGTTCGTCTGGGTCATCCATTGGGGTGGGAGAAGTCATTGCTGACTGCAGGCTGGCTGGGGGTGAGGGGACAGACTTGGGAATTGCTGCTGCAACACGAGACCAGAGGCTGCTTCTACAAAGCACGTGGCCACAAGCAGCCTGCTTTGCTGTTTGGAGCTGCCGGTGACGGGTGCACCAGAGGGAAGGAGCCTGCTCCAAGGCTGAGAGTTGGGTTTTCTCTTTTTGGCACCAGCCTTGCTGCCCATGCACACATCTCCCAGTTGCAGTAAATCACAGGTGCAGGGAGCTCCCTGTTTGCACCCCGTTTTCATACAGGGGCAGTTAGAGCCCCATTTAGGCCATTCCCCACTGGCTGCATACCAATGCCCAGCCCACAGCTGGTCTGCCTGCTCTTGGGAGCTGATACTTAGCAAGAGACGTGGCCACGGGAGCCAGCAGGGATGCTTGAGCTCTGGGGCTGCATAAGCACAACTGATGGTCCGTCAGAAAACATGAGGTGGCCTTGTTTTGGCTTTGCCAACTGGAGTGGTGATCTCAGTGCAGAGGGGTGGCTTTGATGATGGTGACATCTCTGGACGTTCATGCAACTGCTGTCCATGCCTGCAACCCCTCCTCAAAAAACTAGATAAAGAGCTCACATGGGAGATGAAATTTGGCTGCGGTGAGGCTGCTGCAGCCTGAGGGGGTGGGATGTGGGAGGTTGGGCTTCAACCTGAGTCCATGGGGTCAACATCCAGCCCCAAGGTCAGCAGCGAAGACGCGGCACACTGGAGGCTGACAGGGACAGCACAGCTCTTCCTTTGGCCATCAGGGCCTCCACGCTGCTGGATTTACAACAAAACCCCCAAGTCCCCAACTGCAGCCCTCCAGTCCACCCGCCCTTTTCCCACCCGGGGCCTGTGCGCCCACCCTGCGCTCAGCCTGGCCACGGCCACCACAGGGCACAGGAAAGAAAGCAACGCAGAGCAAGCTCAGGCTCTTGTTAGCTGGATATATTTTGTTTTTTGTTGTCGTTGGCTTTTTTCACAGAACACTTTGCAGCAGACAAAAACTGGCATTGCAGTCTGTCGGTACATCGCTGGCACGGGCTCAGCCTTCAGCACCTCGCCGGGCGGTCAGCCCCGGTCCTTTCTTTTGCCGCTTGGCTTTCATCACCTTTTGCTATTTATTTTTTTTTTTTCCTTTTTTTTCCTTTTTACCTTTTTTTTTTTTTTTTTTTTTGTGCTTTTTTTCTTTTTTTTTTTTTTTAATTTTCCTCTCCTCTTTTGAACGTTTCTCCAAAGGAACGGCCACTGGCTCTGGGCAAGCTGGAGATTACAGAAGAGCTGTCAGACGCATGGGCTGGTTTTCCTCCTCCCGCCTCGCAGCTGATTTGGTCGAGATAGTTTTCCAACTTTTGTTTTTATTACAAAAATAAAAAAAATTGCTCCAACTATCAGTTTTACAAGGCATACAAAAAATCTCTAAAAGGGAAACACAAGCGCAAGGTGCTGAGGTACGAAAACCTGAGGTAGTTCTTTGTGTGTGTGTGTATGCGTGTTGTGTTCTTGTAAAAACTTTTGCAAGGTCTTTTCTTTCTCCAAGCCCTGGGCCAACAACGTTTTGAAAATATTTTTTTCCCTCTTATTTCTCCCTTCCATATGAAAAAAAAAAGCTCCCAAAAAGCAACTTATCCTCCAAAAGAGCCCTGGGGGGAGCGGGGGGTTGTTCTCTGCGGGCTGACCACGGGGCAGGGCTGGTTTTGGGGTGCTAACGTTGAGCACAGCTTTGTCTGGCAGTGATGGAGACAAACAGATGGACAGGGCATGGGGCAGAACAGGTGCAAAACCCAGTTGTGAAGCAAAGAGGAAAGGGCGTGTGAAAGGGAGAGTTTTCTCTGGTAGGAGACGGTATCCCTTCTGTTGGCTCATACAGGCAGTCCCCATGGCACTGCTTTCACAGCCCTTAAGAAACTGCTCGTTAACACTTCTTTAATTGTTGTTCCTGCTGGCAATCCTACAACTCTGTGCTACTGTGCATTAGAGAACCACTGGACTAGCTCTTTTCCTTAAGCCTAGAAAAGCCTGCTTTGACTAAAACAAACATCCCACCCCTGTGACATTAAAAAAAAAAGGAAAAAAAAAGAAAAAAAAAATTATAAAAAAAATATAAAAATTAAAAACCAGCATTAGTTTTGTTATTGATATATTAATTCTAAAATATAGGACCGGCACAGACACCGGGTGCCGGATGGGATCCTCCAGCCACACCTGGCCAGGGAATGGTTGCAAAACGGGGCATTTGGGGGGAAATAATAGAAACGATTAGAAAAACAAACAAACAAAACAACAAAATCCCAAAGCCCTCTGCCTATGTTAGTCCAACTAAAGGGATAGCGTCAGGAACCGAGTCAGGCGGAGGCTGTGGGATGGAGAGGTCGGGCGCCGCGGGGTGCAGGGGGCCGTCCCCACGCCATCCCTGTGCCCCGGGGTGCTCTTTGGTTGCTCCCTGCCCGTGCTGGCAGGGGTACATTCATCGGCGCGCTGGGAGGGAGCCTCACTTGCTGTGCTGCGAGGCAGGGGCTCCCTGAGCGTGTTTCTGCTCCTGCTGCTTCACCTGCTGGACGATTTCCCTGATCTTGCGCTGTGCAGTCTGGAGAGAAAGCGAGAGGCGGCGGTCAGAGGAGCCCGGGGTGCCCAAATGTGTGCTTTACCCGGACGGAGCCTATCTTTAATTTCTGCACTACCGCCACTGGGGAGAGCTGCTGAGACGCCAATAGTGCCTCCCAGAGCCGCCAGCAAAAGGATGCTCGTGTAGGGCGGGCATCTGGAAGGCAGAACCTGGAGAGGTGAGAGAAGACACAGCGAAAGCCTCACCTGGCTGGCAAAGAAATGCCCGATGATCTTAACGATGACCTCCTCATTCTCATCCGGGGTTTGGTCTCGGGGCACGATGACCTCTGCGCTCGTTAAGTTTTGCAGCTCGTTCACCTGCAGCAGAAGGCAGAGTTGTTGCTGGGGTAGCCATACCCAGGAGGACCCAGCCCTGCTGCTGCGCCTGCCGTACCGTTTTGCCACCTTTGCCTATCACACGGCCAGCTGCAAAGGAAGGCACCTTGATGTGGGCTTCAAGCTTCACCTCTTCTTTCGGGTTGAAGAAGTTCTCTTCTTTCAGCTTCCCAAATATTCGCCCCTGGGCCTGCGGGAGGGTGATGTGAAACGTAGGAAAACAGCAGCCTGCACCCCAGCACCAACGAGCAGTGTCCCCCAGCCCCATCACCCACCAGGGACCCAAGGGATACCCGAGTTGTGCTCCCATTCCCAGCACTGAGCCCACCTTGAACTGTGCCTCAGGTGGCCCCGTGATGATGACCATCCGCTCAGTAGCATCAGGACCTTCTGCTGGGGCAATCTGCGAAATAGGAGGGGGGCAGGAGTGTGTGAGCAGGCTCTGCTTTGGCAAGACCCACCTTGGAGGT